AGAAGTTCCTTGTAAGTAATTTTAACAATTACAAGATGGTGACATGCATACCCATGATGGAGCACTACAAAGAACTCATTCATGTACTTGGAAATTAGAGCAACACTTGATGAAGATGGATGATCTATTTCTATGTAAAGTGTTATAGACAAACTAATCCTTTATGGAATTACTTTAAGCACATGTTAACACATAAAAAGGAAGAGTTCCCACTTATAAAAATTGGTAGCCATTTAAGAATGAGAAATCCTTACCAGCTTAAAAAAATGGAAAAGGAAAAGATAAGAAAAGTAGTTGCTCCACCTTCTGTTAACATGGTGAAAGACGAAAAAAAAGAAACGAAAGAGATCTGACAACCAAAAGAGATCCAACAATAAACTAAGACTGGTATGTTTGAAAAGTAACAAACTGGGCCACATGAAGCATGTATATCGTGTTGGAAAAGGAATGAATGCAACAATTACTTATCTGAAAGGTTCATGAGATTAGGGCCCAGAACATCAACAAAGTTCGAATATGGTTTTCAGTCCTATTTGCATTGTGTAATATGGTAAACTAATACCCGATACATTTTATGTACAAGATGACAATCATGCATGGTGGATAGATAATTAAGAGAGAGGATTCATGCATGCAAATATCATCATTGGTTTAATACTTATGTAGTGGTAGAAGATGATTTGATACTTTATATGAGATAACATATAAGTTCTCCAACCATTAGTCGTGGTTGTGTAATATAGAGTTTAGTCCTCGAGAGTCTCTTACCTTGAGAATGTTATACATGTCCTTAAATTAGGAAACACCTGGTTTTTGGTGGTGTATTAAATAAATGTGGTTATAAACAAGTCTATGATTTTGATAAGTATATTTTATTGAAGTTTGGTATATTTGTAGGATTTGGGTATTATTGTAATGGAATGTTTATGATAAACATAATTAAAAGTATTGTAGATTCTATTTATATGAATTATTCAAAAATTGTTCATTCTTCTTTTTGGCATGAAATTTAGGACATGTTCATTTTAAAAGTATGCTTGAGATGTCCAAAAAAGGATTAATTTCTCATTTTGGACATAAATATAGAGAAATGTGCAACACCAGTTTCCACGTATGAACTTTCCTTGATAAATTTATATAAGTTTGGGGTCCTCAGTAGACCATGTCGCGAACATTAGTATGTCGCGGCGCGGGCCGAGTCAATAAGTAGTGATGCATTTAGGTATGAACCGCGACGCTATGGCGGATGGGCTCATAATCCTAGTTCTCGGGCCTTGAGCCCTATTTATATGATGCTAACATTAGGGTTCTATCTTTTCTCAAACTCTACCCCGCCAGAAAGCAAACCATAGCCCCTCATGTGTGTGTTTTGAGAGGTTTGGTGTTTTTGGTGAGATTTTGAAGTGAGATCAAGGTGCTGAAGTGCAGAACGCTAGATCCAGAAGAAGACCATCCTTCTCGTTACCCTTGGATCTCTATAAGTGTCAAAGCTTCAACCTTTTTCATCCTTTATGCTTAAATCTAAGAACTTACGGAGTTTTAGCTACTTTTAGTCATATTTCTTGTGATTTCTTGATGTTTAGAAGCTCTTGGTGGGGATGGTTATCTAAGTTTCATCCCTGGACCATTTTTATGTTAGAATGTTGGGTTCTTGTCCCCATTCCAAGCCATGCTAGGCATTTTGGTCATTGGGCCCTTTTTGAGATTTAGGGTTGAAGATCTTGCTAAATTGGTAATAAGGATGGATAAAGTTGGAAAATTTATCCATGCAAATCATTATAAGATTCATATATATGATTTGGAGCTATAGATGTTAAGGATTAAGAGGTTATTAGATTAAGCTCTTTTGGATGTAAATCACGCCACATAGTGTGTATGTCGCGACACGGGTCGCGAAATCGAGTCGCGACTGTATTGGTGTTTAGTGGTTGTGGCACAGCCAATGATCTGGTCACGATGCGGTGGTCGGTGACCATTGGCTATTGACTTTGACCTTTGATCGTTGTCTTTATTACCAGTTTGAATTTTGGTCATACCTATTGGGAATTGAGATATAGGAAAAGTATGGACTTTTAACTGACTTCTAGGTGGTTCATGTTGCTAACTCTTCCCTGTAGCGAATGTTTGTTGTTTCAGTTTCCGATTAAGGCGAGTCTTCTCACGATATTACTTATGTCATGATTGGATCCTCTATGTGTTGGATGCCTACGTAATAATATGATATGTTAGTATGCTTAGCTAGACCAATAAGGTCTTGATTATGGATTATGGTTTGAGGCTTGTTGCTTGTTTTCTTGTTGATTGGTATGTTATGTGCCTTGTTTGTTTTTTTGATTGGTGTACTTGAAATAGACAAAATCGAGCCCTAAAATGTAAATAAGAACTATGTGGTAGTTTGAGGAATGGAAATAGATAACATACCTGCGATCTGGGCTATCGAAGTCAATGTTCGGTGTTGGGAAGATGTGGAGGAGTGACAGTGTCGGCAACGAAAAGGAGAAGGAGCGGCGGCAATGATAAGTGATGATTAGGAGATGGTCGAGACTAGCAGTAAGGGAAAACGATGAAGATCATTTACGCACAGAAGGGAAGAGTCGAAGAGGGGAAGTCGACTGACATGCCCTTCTTTTTTTTAGAATGAAAGTCTAATTTACTCTAAGTTAAAGTTCGTTTAACATATTACCAATATTAGCTATTACTAAATGTGAAAAATTAAGTAGGAAATTTGAAAACTTTGCTGAAAAATAATGAGGGAAACATAAGAGGGAATTGAAAAGATAAAGTTTTTGGTGTAAACTAAAACATATGGTGGGAAGTAAAATTTTAAAAAATTTAAATTTTTTTACACATGTCATAATCATATTTTTTGAGTATACTAATTATCTGATATAATATTCTAAAAAAATAAAAACAACATATTAGTTTTTTATTTTATATAAAATATATATATTTATTTAATGATTAAAAATTTAAGTATGTGTATTATTATTTGTGTTATAACATTTAAAATACGTATTGCATCTTACATTGTCGTTACAACACTTTCAAACAAGTGTTGCAATGAAAAATTAAAAAATGCAACACTTTTTATAAATGGTATTTTTAATAAAACATGCAACACTTAATAAAATGATGTTGCTCTAGATATGTTAACACAACACTTACTTTATAAGCGCACCATTTTAATCACAAGCAATCCCTTTTACAAGTGCTGCTTCCAAAGTGTTGCATTAGACTCGTTTTGTAGTAGTACAAACTCAAACTAGGATATGAGAATTTTTCACAAGACCTTTTGAAAATAAATTTTATATAAAGGAGAAGATGCGACACATATCGTCAGCCCGAGCCAAAAAGGATAATGATTCCAAAAAATCAATACTCAATATGAATATATGTTGTTATGTGAACTTTTATAAAAGCATGCTAGTATATAAGCTAGGGATCTTTTCAGTAATTGCATGATAAAATTTCTTAGTAAATGAGATGACATATAGTCTTAGGAATTTCTTCCTACATGCTATCTGAAGTTCATGTTGTTAATTGCTAAGTCAATGCATTGGGTTGTACTTAATTAGGATTGTATAGCCTTAGAATGCTTGTTTTAGCCTTACTTCATGTTCCTTGTCTAGTTGTGAGCTTAGGATAGAATCATTCATTCGACTGTCTATCTGATATGTATTACGTGCGACTTGCATTCACGAGGGAATTATCGATACTAACAGGGGCTTCTCATAGTACAAGAGTAAAGGTAAGGGAGATCCTAGATGTAGAATCTGGCGATGTTGGTAGGGTGTATGCATGAGTAGGACCCTTAGTGTTGGTCTTTTAAGGGGACATAGAGCTTTAGGACAATTCTTGAGACGAGTGTGGATAAGTGTGGAAGTAGTATGAGCATGTACTATCAAAAGTGCATGATCCGTACATAGATCAGGAAAAGTCACAAGGGTCATAGGAAACATTTGGAAGGTTATAGTGTAAGGATTAGAGCTATGAATTCATTTTAACTTGTTCCTGTTATCTTTCAGAATTAATATGGTGACTACTCAAGCTGGAGGATCAGGTTCATGTGCGGGTGATGTTGAACCAAGAGTTTCGGTTCCATAGTGTTGCGACGTCGTTCCCCAAACATAACTCTGGCTGACTATGGAATTTGCAAGCGGAACCTGTAGTCACAACTAAGTAACACGTTAGTCGTTCCCCAGGAGAACGTACATCCTCAAATGATCCTTACGTGATAGCATAACTCCGATGCTCTAGTCAGCGAGGCGGCTAAGCTTTAAGTGATATCACATTGAGAGAATATAGAGAGAACGTACATCCTTAAATGATCCTTACGTAACTTATATAGTTAGGGTTTTTTGGGCAGAGGGGACCACAACAACGACATTTTATGTACATGATTGGTATTGGTCCATTTTTCCTCGTCTGACTCCTCCTCTTCTCTGATTGGTGCAGATGGAATAAATGGTAGTGGCTCGTGCACAACCATTCTAGCACCTCCCTCCGTACCCCATATCATATCCTTGCATGGAGATCAAGAAGTATTCTCGTGCATAACGCTAGCTGTCGGGAGTAATTGGCCCTCTCATCTATTCTTATTTTGGTATAGCCTCGACGTTGATCTCTGCTGGCTCCCGAGTCTAGCTAGTTGGGGCCACCAAACTGTTTTTCCTTTGCTCTGTTCGAGCCAGTGGCTGTTTCACCATGACTGGATTCCATCGTGTTTAGTTGTGCCACGACGGACCACTGTGGGATACGTCATCAAGCCCCCTAGTCTAGTAGTGATGAGGCAGCATATCGAGTTATCATGTACTAGACTCATAGACGCACGTGTCTTTTTATTACTCGTCAGACAGTTATTACCCCTGCAAACTATCCTGCTTTTTCTAGGCGTTTGATTTCCCGTGATCTCTATCCATAAATACACGTCTTCCCCCTTTATACGCCTTCTCCTTTCCATCTCAGTTTTCTTTTCCTTTGATCCTTATTTTTCAAAGATAATGGCCCTCCCTGTTAGCATGATTTCTTCTTATTGCGTTGTTCCAACTTCAGAGTATGCTGAGACTCTCCGGGAGAGGTACGACTTTCAACCGGAGGACAAAATACTTGTTCCTTTGGACGGAGCCTCCTTTCTGGAACCTCCTCCGGGAAAGTTCGATATCTATGTCAAGACCTTTGATTCTTGCTATCGACTTCCGACCTGTGATTTTCTCGACGAGGTACTTCGCATGAACAGGGTCAATGTTTACGAACTTACCCCTAATGCTGTAAACAAGGTTGTCGCTTTCGAGATGCTGTGTCGATCTCAAGGCTTCCAAGTATCCCAGTATTCAAGAACTTCTTTCATTTTTCTACTGATGGTGACAAGTTTACTTTTTACAGCCGAAAGAATGCTCACATCCTTTTCCCTGACGGGAAAAGCATCCCAAAGCACTGGAAAAATCATTGGTTTTGGGTGAACAATTCTCAAGATGGAGGTCCCTATGTTCGAGCTAAAGTGACCTCTAATAGCACACCCAAATTACCTGGTCGGGATCAAGAAAATGCTCGCCTTCAAGAAAGCTATACCGTTGCTCTCGAGGAGTTTCCTGAATGCATTCTTGCTGGTGCGGAGATGAGCACCGAGTGGCAACGTTGTCAAGAGAAGCCTGAATTTTTTGTTGTTAAAGGAGGTAAGATTTCAAGGAAAGAATCTTCTTTCCAACAATATTTTCATTCCTAAATGGAATCTCACTGATGAGTCTCTCCTCTCCCAACAAGAAGTTGCTGGTGAGTTTTCACGCCACGTTTTCCCCAAGAGGACCATTACCGAGATGGAAGCTTTTACCGAAGACCTAAGAATTGATTTTATGGAGTTTCCTTATGCTCAAAATGACTTCTTCCTTACCGCGGGAGCTCGTCGCATTCGTCATCTCAAAAGTGTGGCTGCTAAGCTTAGTGCAAGTGAAAGGGGTCTCCAGCAACACAACGTTTCTATGGAATCCTCAGTGGAGTCTTCTCGCCAACAATTGGAGTTGCTGGCTGGCGATAAAATGACCCTTCAGGAGCATTGTGCTCAAGTGGATTCAAAGCTTGATGATAACCTTCAGAAGAATGAGACCTTGAACATTCGCGTGGAGAGTCTGGAGATAGAGCTGTTGGATAGAGAGAAATTGTTGCATAACCATGAGGCAAAGCTATCTCGTCTTGGGAGTGATTTGGACTGGCTGGTGAAGGATGGAATAGTGATAATTGTTGATAAAATTATTAAGCTTCCAGATTTTTTAGGGTGTAGGATGTATCAAGGACATGTGCTTTTCTGCTGGCGAGGAGTCCGACCGAGAGGCGTTGCACAAGGAGGTGGTTGCCAAAATGTTTGATCCTAGTGCTATCAGTTCCACCTCTAGCCATTCAAGGGAGATGGTTGATGCGACTGACTCGTTCATTTATTGTGACTATGCTTCCATGATGAAGTTGGGTTCCCTTGATATTATTGGCCTTCGCCAGTTGTGTGTGGATGGCGATCATGCAGGAGTAGATCCTAACAACAATGCCAAGATCACGGGCTTAGATGGAGGAGCTGGTAAATGAGTAAATTTTCTTGCTTTTGAGACTTAGTGCATCCATGGAATCGGTGTGAATGGACATTTTACTTTTGTTGTTGGCCATGCGTGGCTTAGGTTTGCTAGGTTTTGGCATGTAACAGAACAATTACTTTCTACTTTTATCTTGCTATGCACGTTGTTTGCTTACTCTTTTATTTGCATGCGTATTTTCTTTATTGTGGAATTGGGTGTGTGATTCATATGACTTCTTCCTTGGCAAAGGTTGAAATCCTTTGAGCCAAGGCCAGACTGAACTGCTTGCTACTGTGTCGAGTTAGGTATTTGAACCATACAACTCTTTTCTTGGCAAAGGTTGCAATCCTTTGAGCCAAGGCAAGGCTGAGCTGCTTGCCGCCGTGTCGAGTTGGGTATTTGAACCTTACAACTCTTTTTCTTCGCAAAGGTTGCAATCCTTTGAGCCAAGGCAAGGCTGAACTGCTTGCCGCTGTGTCAAATTGGGTATTTGAACCATACACCTCTTTTCTTGGCAAAGGTTGCAATCCTTTGAGCCAAGACAGGACTGAACTGCTTGCCGTTGTGTCGAGTTGGGTATTTGAACCATACAACTCTTTTATTGGCAAAGGTTGCAATCCTTTGAGCCAAAATAATGATGAGAATAGGAAAAGAGAATTATGATACGGGCAAGATAATTACCTTGGGTGATCAGACCTAGGTTTTTAATTCATTAATTCGTGACTTATTACAAAAGAAGAAAAATGACATTACTAGTTCTTTGAATCCTCCTCATCTCTTCTCCTTTCCCCATCCCCCCTTTTTTTTAAAACAAATTTTTTTTCTCAAGTGCTAGATATGCCAAGTTCTTGGTATGGGTCGCCCCTCCATTGTTTCCAATTCATAAGATCCATTGCGGTGCGCGGTGGTTATCCTGTATGGATCTTCCCATGCTGGGCCTAGCTTCCCCCCTTGGCTCACTATGACTAACTTCATTTGACTTTAGCACCAAGTCCCCAACTTTCATGTCTTGTCCTTGCATTCGTTTGTTGCAGTAGCTTTCCACGTGAGTTTTGTATGCTGCCATGTTTAGTTGGGCTCTTTCTCGTTTTTTGTCAAGTAGGTCCAAGTTGTGGCGCAAATCTTTTTCTGATGCTTCCTGGATGAACCCAACTATGCGTATTAACCCCATGAGTAGTTATCTAGGTAATACTGCTTCTATGCCGAAAACGAGGCTGAAGGGCATTTTTTTGTGCTGGTGCGCAATGTTGTTCTATAGGACCATATGACACTGGGGATCTCCTCGAAGCAATTGCCTTTAGATTTTCCCAAACATTTCTTGATCCCATTAACTAGCGTTTTGTTTGATATTTCTATCTGCTCATTTGCCTGCGGTTGAGCCGCTGAGGTAAAACGCTGCTCTATGTGTTTGTCTTGACACCATCCTCTAAATGGATTCTCAGCAAACTATAACCTATTGTCATTAAATAAGGTTTTAGGGGTGCCGAAACGTGTCAATATATTTTTCCACATGAACTTGATCATGGCTCTCCCTGTGATATTTTCGATGTGCTCCGCCTCGATCCATTTTGTAAAGTAGTTGGCAACGAGTACTAGGAACTTGATCCTTCCTGAAGCTTTTGGGAATGGTCCTACATTATCGATGCCCCACTGATCGAACGAGCAAGGGCTGGAAATACTTGTGAGTAGTGTGGATGGTAACTATTGTTTTGGGGAGAAGGTTTGACACTCGACGCATATTTTCATTAGTTCTTCCGCCTCTTTGTGCATGGTTGGCCAATAGAGGCCCATGCATAACACCTTTCCATTTAGGGCCCTTGCCCCTTCATGTGCTCCTGCTTCACCTTTGTGTGTTTCTTTCATGATATCTACTCTCTCTAACTTCGTTACACAGCGTAACCAGGGCATCCTGTATCCACTTTTGTATAGCTCTTTGTTCTTTACGATGAATTGGGGAGCTTTGATTTTCACCTTTGGTGCTTCGCTCGGGTCACTCGGCAACAAGTTATGTAGTAGGTATTCATATATGTGAGTTATCCAACCCTTGTCTTCTGTCACGATGGCATCCACATTCGTTTCTTCTATGCTTCTTGTTTTCAGTATTTTAACCAGCACTTTTTGGATAAGTGGTTGTATGTTGTGGCTGCCAACTTGCTAAGTGCATCTGCCCGTTTGTTCGCACTTCTTTTGACTTGCTCAATTTTCAAGGTGTCAAAAGATACGATCATTTCATTGACTGGTGTCATGTATTTCTTCATTCTTGGATTCTTGGTATCGTAAACCCCATTTATTTGATTCCTGACCAACACCGAATCAGTTCCAACTTCCAAATTTTTTTCTCAGACTTTGTTTGCCAACTTTAATCCAGCTAGCAATGCTTCGTACTCGGCTTCTTTGTTTGTTGTCTCGAAATAGAATCGCAATGAATATGTTATCTCATTTCCTTCTGGGCCGGTAAGGATAAGGCCCGCTCCTGATCCTTCTCTGTTGGTCGCATCGTTGGTGCATAACGTCTATACGGGGTTTTTCATGACGACCTTTTCTCCCTCTTCTTGTTGCATGGTGGTCATGTTGCACTCCTTGTCTGGAATTTCTGTTAGGAAGTTTACCAAGGCCTATCCTTTTATACTTATTCTCGGATAATATTCTATGTCGTGTTCTCCTAACTCAATGGACCACTTGATTATTCTTCCTGATTTTTCTGGTTTTAGTAGGATGCTTTTAAGAGGCTAGGTGGTAAGGACTTCGGTTTGATGGGCCTAGAAGTATCAACTGTAACGTCCCAAAAATACCGAGTAAAACGTTTATTTTAAAGAAGTCAAAACCATTCATACATTGTCCCGAAAGACGATTAGAGTATTAGTATTCTCAAAACATCAGAGTTAATCATAAATAATCATTGCGGAATAAATCTTCAGGGGATGTAGTGTGATCAAGCCAAGCTCTTCTTTTTAAAACTGGAAGTACCTGGAAATGTTTAAACCCCAAAACCGTAAGCACAAAGCTTAGTGAGTTCCCCAAAATACCGCATACCATACATATATGCCAGCTCAAGGCTGTTTCGGGTCTATTTCACCACCGGGTCTATTTCACCCCCAAGTCTATTTCAACTCATGCGTCGACACAAGGCCGTACCGGGTTTATTTCACCCCCAAGTCTATTTCTACTCATGTGTCGGCACAAGGCTATACTGGGTCCATTTCACCCCGAGTCTATTTCACCCCACATACATATGGCAAATAAGCACACATACATACAACACATACAAAAGGAGCCAGAAAGACTACAAGCACATAACATATCCTAGTGTCCTATAGTATAGTGAGCAAAGTCACCTTAGTCTGCTATCCGTCAAACAAATGATCGGGCAGCTAAACCGGAAAATCCCTGCGCTAACCAATGAAATAAAACCCTAATTAATAATTGGGCCATAAACCATAACCGATAATCTACTTCATTTGTCCAGTACCCAGGGTAAAAGACTATTTCACCATTTCCTCACTTGGCCCAATAACCGAGTCCCAAACTCAATGACACTGAAAGCCCAATAGTGGCCCAATTCCTAAAGGTTGCCCACAACTCAATATGGGCCTTAATCCAAGAAGGCCTAAAGCCTAACATGGCCCAAAGTCAGAAAGACTTGTGGCCCAACAAAGGCCCAACGCCCTAAAGCCCAAAGACGGCCCCAAAAGTCAAAAGCCCACCTGCCATGAATGCTAAGTGTTTCCATAGTACGCCCGTCGTACTAAGTGGCTTCACCGAGTCAGAGGGGTCAAACGCGTACACGCAACGTACATACTCGAACGCCCGGCGTACACTGCCTCCAACACTATTCATCCATTATGTCCATAATGATTAAGACTGATTGTCCAATTTCCAGATCCAAGCCTTGGGGAACGTCTTAATCCATAAAGTCATTAACTTGATGCCTTTTCATGGCTCAAAAGGACTCAAAACCCAAATCTAGTCTACTAGCTTGACCAAGAGATCAACAAACCATGCATGGTTGGTCCACAACCATCTAGATACAAACTTTATGAACAAGGGACCTTTAAAACATAAGTATAAGTAACCCAAAGATTCTAGAGTAGCGTATACTCTCAAGAATCAACTCATGAGACCAAAAAGCACAAAAACCCACTCACAAGCAAGATCTAACAGATGAACCATCAAGTTTGAGACTTTTTACTTTCAGAAGATAGATCAAGGAAAACTAAGCTAGGATCCACAAGCTCTAAGCAATCCAACTCTTTTCCAATGAGTTCTTCTTCTTCCAAATGCACTAAAAATCCACCAAAATCAATCAAAAGCTCAATAATCTTCCATATGAGGCTAGGGTTTCGATAAAACGACTTAAGAGGGTGGAGGCTGAAGGTAAGGTGGTTTGGAAATGATTTAAGGCCTTTAAATAGGGTCCAAGACCCCAAAATAGGGTTTGAGTCTGAGTTGTGAATGCCCAACGTTGATATGGAATGCCCAACATTCCTGAGGGAACCTTCGCGATCACCCAGCCACGAACACCCAATGTATATTCTTGTACGCCCAGCGTTCCCGCCTAGCCCTTTTACCATTCTAACTTCCGAAGGCCATGACTTCTGCGTCCCAAGTCCGTTTTCGGTGATGTTTATATCCACAGAAAGGTGTTGAGGATCTCTACAATCCTATCTATTTACTTTTGAATTAAAAAACCTTGAACTAAAATCCTTAAATTAAATAAAAGTTCTGAACCATTACTTTACCAATATACCCTTGTGCTCTAAAGCACAAACCAAACTGTTGGATCACAAAATTTACATTACCCACATCCAAATGGGTCTAAACCTCTCTTTCCCCAAGGCCTGAAGCCTTATAACAACTGATCTTCAGGTCACGACCCCGAATTAAGAAACGAATCAAAACATGGTGTTACATCGGCGCAACCGTCTAGCGGCATAAGCTAATGCTAGGACAACTTTCTCAACCATGGGATAATTTAACTTGGCTCCTTGCAATTCTTTACTGAAAAAGTATATG